TGAGACAATGCCAAATATTCAAAATTATTTTCTTTTTTTATTTGGTTAAACTCCAACATATTAGAGTCAGTCACACTCGTTTTTTCACAACCAGTCTTTAAATGCTCCCTGTTTAAAATAAACTTAATTCACCTATGTGTGTCCCTACAATAACATGCCAGGGAAAGAGCTCTTCGCTCTTTATTCACAGGGGGACAGAGATAAACCACATCAATTTCTGGTTCTTTAAGATACAAAAATTGTTGAAAAAGGTAGGGGTTTTTAGGATGTCTAGATATGCCACTCAGACTGCTGTAACTTCTGGAGATATATATATATGTATATGTGTATGTGTGTGTGTATGCATAATATATGTGTATATATATATATATATATATATATATATATGTGTATATATATATGTATGTGTGTATATATATATATGTAGCACAGGCACTAAGCATCTGGGGTTCAAATATTGAAAAGCCAGTTGTGGCTGTAAAGGTTTTGGGATCAACAGTGTTTGGGATCCCTCTGATTTTTCTGGCTAGAGCCAGAGAGCTTGTGGTCTGGGTTGCTCAGTGGTGCACCTCCCTCCAGCCCTGCATGTTCCTCTTATATGTGTGATCCCAAATGCTGCTCCTACCTTTGGCATATGAATACAGTTGAGTTTTTTTTCCTGAGAACCCACAACCAGCAATTTAATTACGGTAATTTAATTTGTCTTCAAAACAATGCGTTATACATTAATTAAAGTAACTTAATTTGTCTTCAAAACAGAGTATTATTCATTTGCCCTAAGGCATGAGACACATAGCACATAGGGCAAAAAACATCAGAGGTACATGACTCTTACTCATACCCTCATCTTTCCCCTTGACAGCTTTTGTGCTTTCTCATTTTCAGCTTCAAGGAGCATTTGTGTTGTATTAGCCCCAGTCTGTTTTTACAGCGCTTTCCTTTGCCCTTAACTCTCTTCCTTTCACACATTGCTTCTGGACAGCTTCTCTCAGGTGACTCAAAGGCCCCAGTTTTGCAAAGCCTTTGTGAGAGTATAGCGTGATACTTCTCAGTCCTGAAAAAACAGAGATATTAGCAGTGTTGTGACCAATGTGTTATCTTTTAGGTCCACAGACCTCCTTAATTTTGTGGACTTTTTTGTATATGCTCAGCTTCTCTTCACCTGCTTGATCATTTTCATAACCCCTGTTGACTAACTGCACAACAAGCATCCTCATCTCACAAATGCACATGTGGAAGCAGAATATTAATTTTAAAAATAAAAATATCAAACACATTTTCCTAGTTTCCTAGTGAAGCTACTTGCTCCAAAATAACAGCCTGTGATACATACCTATTATCAGCAACAAAATGCTACCGAATACTAAAGGTTATAAAAGGTAAGGTTTTATAAAACTTTAAAGTTTTGGTAATTAAAAAAAAAAATAAAAATTTTGTAATTAGGCTGCATACACCATATGAGTATTTTGTAAGGTAAACCTTGTGTGCATACAGACAGAATTTAGTAAGTTATTTTTGATAGAATGCTGTTGTTGAGAACATGCCCACATAGCACAAAAATATCTGATATGTAAGGATAAAAAGTACTTCAAAATAAACATTTTTAAGCTACACTTCAGCTGAGCCTTAGCTTCATCTAATCCCCACTTCAGTGGTAGATATGAACATGCTTCATTCTAGGAACCTGGGAAACACCAAAGAAGAGCAGGCCTGTTGGCTTTGCTGGTGTGTTTATTCCTTGGCAATACAGAATGTTTAGAGACGTGTGTCTTTCTGGAAGTCCTCACAGCAGGTAGCATTTGTAATGAACTCCTTAAAATCTGAACATACCATGTTCTTGTTTGCCTTTTGGAGTAACTAGGAAACCAGCCTCACTCCAGAGCCTATGCAGAGTCATCCCCTTCAGACCCTTTTGTAGCTCTGGCATTTCCAAGTAGCTGAGAAGAATTGCTGTGGTAAAAATATCACAGAATTCAGTTCTTTAGATGCAGTAAGAGAGGTATAAACTGGATGTTTCTGACCAGCAGTATCAGTCAGAGCTGTCTCTCCCATTTCAAACAAGGCCAGCTAATGTCTTTGGGATGAATCTCAGGAGATAGGACAGAGCCTGCAGAGAGCCACACTAAACCTCTCCTCTCTGTAGTGCAGGAGCTCTGGTCTGTCCAAGTGTGCAGAACAGGGAAATCAAAACGGTCGCAAGGAAGCCCCACCTATAATACAAAATAATCCCATTAGTCTCCACACCAAAGACCTGGGAGTTATTTTGCTGGGTAGGTGGCCATGGGAACAGTGTGGTTATCATCACACAACAGAGACGGAAACCAGAACTTTCTCCAGGAATGGGGAAGCAGTTTCCAGGGGTATCACAGGGAGCAGCACTTTCACAGCAAGAAGCCAAGCTTCCTAAAACAACATCACCACTACAGAACACCACAAACATAAAAATTATCAAGGAAAACCTGAAATCTTTCTGAGTAGGATTGAATAAAATAAAGAATAACATGTACATTTGCTTTCTTGAGACAAATGTCAAAGAGTTAGACAAGGTAGGAAGGCACATAGCTGGGTTTGGCTTCAACTTTGTATAGACTAGAGACACAAAGCTGAAGTTCGTGGAATAAAATTGAGATTGTTCATTTTTAATCTTTGCTTTTGGAAGAAGCTGAGGGTGAAAGCACAACTGAGAGCTGTCAGGACCATCCTTCTGCTAGCAACACACACCACTGCAGTAACTCTTAGTTTATCTCCTCGGCCAGCCTGGCACGGATGGCAGCTGCCTGTATTGAACCACATTCCAACTCTGGTCACACTGGAATGAATCCAGGGTCATGTCATTGACTTCAATGAAGTTATTCTCTATTCATGCTTGCTAACTGAGAATCTGGCCCATTCCATCTAGGCAGCAATATCTATATAGAGAAAATACAGCCAAATTAAGGGAACAAGAAGAATCAAGCCATGTGACATGAAGAGGAAACATTTTACATTATAAGGATTATAGAGGCCCTTTAGTTTAAGGAGTTTATCAGCATTTAAAGGACGGTTGGCTGAAATGCATTTCTATATATGCCTAGATATTCTTTCAAGCCTCATTTGCTGTTTTAAAAAGTGAAAAGAAAATGTACTGATTTTAACATTATTGAAATAAAAATGCTTCAGTTTGTTCAACACAGAACACTAATTAATTATACATCTATGAGCAGGCCTCTTCTGTTCAGGATTTCCTCCACATCAATTAAGAAGGCCTCTCTGGCCAAAATATGTTGAGTTTCATTGATCTTCTTTGTGGGAGCACTTTTCTGTTGGTGCCAAATTCAGTTTTGGGAAAAACACTGTGTTTTACTCTGCTGGGTAAACCCAGGTTGTCCCTGCTGTAGTGACCAACAAAAGATAGAGAAAAGGAATCAAAGTAAGGAAATCTATCATCACTGTATTATTTCCAATAATTTCAGATTACTTCTCTGTAGGGCTTGATGATACAGTATATCTGACTTTAGAGAAGCCAGTGGTATAACAAAACCTCTGCAACCAATGATAGAAAAGTAGTAAAAAGTTATAGGTTTACTCCAGCAGTTTATTTGTTAAAGTAATACTGACATTTAGTTTCCAGCAGGCGATGGACTGAATTGCCTCACTGCCTGTTGTACTAAGTTGGTATCATCCCATGTTATGTGTTCTGACTAATGCAGCAGAAATGCACTTGTATGCCCACACCTCATCTGGATGCTGTTTGTGTTGCTGTACGATCTGGAAGCACCCAGACGGAGAATGAGTGGTGATGGATCCACCAAGGATGGGCTTTCTGCTATACCTAGTTAGCAGTAATATGCCACTTACCCACAATTTTCACTTTACCTTTGGATTTCACCTGGACTCGCCAGAATATTAATTTATAAACTGTTGCAACACCCTTGCCAAGAAAGAGAAACATGAGGAAGAAGAGAGAAACATGCCTGCTTAGTAAGGAAAATGTATGTTAAATTGAGAAAAGTGTTGGATTGTTTTGGGTAGCTAGAAAGAGCTGTGGAACAATCCAGACAGGATTTAAGACAACATTTTTAATTTTTGTTTTTAATTTTTCTTTTTAGAGTATGTATCTCAGCTTGCACTAGCATCGAAGTGAATCAAGAAAAGTTATAGTATATAGCTCTTTTCACACAAGATTGTATATAAAATAATACCTTAGGCTGACAGGGGTCATTTTAGACCATCCTGGACAGTTCCCATAAGGAAGTGAAAATATCACAAGCCTGGAGTGGCAAACTGTCTGCTCAGGTTTGGATTCCTGGTCTGGGTATCAACCCCTAGAGCTTTCCCACAGAAATTAATTTCATTATTCCTATGCAAGAAAGAGCAGGTTATTAATGTTTCAGCTACAGAAATGATCCTCCTGTGCTAGCGCAATGTATCTGTTAGAATTAGTTCTGTAAATCTACATAATAATGGACAATATTCTCTTAAACTAATTTACTGCAATCATCATTAATTGGCCAGCTTTCTAACACCTGGTACCAACAGATTTTTCATCCAGCAAGAGCAGTGCCACACAATGGTAACAGCAGGTTTTTACCTAATCCCTCTCCATACACAAGCAAACACCAAATGTGCCTGTAACAAAGACACACAGACCAGCCTGACATTTGCTGATAACTCCCAGGAGATTTTCCCTCAGTACAACTAGTCCTGCTCAAACAGAGTGGAAAAGATGATTTGAAATAATTTCCGACTAGACTAATTGCACTCACTTGAAAAGAACATCCTTCTCTTCCTCAGTGTACACATGTATTAGTCCAGCTGTAAATGCAGCTAACACTTTGTGAAGTTTTCCAAAGCAATCATTATTTCATCTTCGGAGAATTCACAACAGCTTGCTCAATAATGAAGTTATGCAGATATATATATACTTCATGCAAAGTTGCACACACACATACACGCACACACAAAATAAAAATTAAAAAAAATAAAGGAAGCATTTAAAACTGCTTTTAAATTCCACTCACAGTTTTGAAGTTCAAGCGTAAAACTTCTTGCCTTGCATCTGTAGCTCCAAGCTGTCTGTAAAGATAACACAGTCCATCAGATATCCTGGTTTTGTTTTCTCGCATAAAAATATCATCTGTCACAGGCACAGGAGCTGACTCCAAGGGCCGGCCCCTTCGGCGGAGCACACCAATCGGGAGACCCCGGGAGCACATGTGGAATGCTGCTTGCCTGCACGCCGGCCACGGCCACGGGCAGCATCTGCTGTGCGGGGCACGGCTGCCAGACGAGCTGGGCTGTCACCGGGGCACGGCGCTGGGGGTGCCCGGGTGTCCCCAGCCCAGCGGCGGGAGGCTTTGGCAGGGCGCCTCGCTGCCGCTGCTCCTGCTGCGCCAGCCGTAGCGACACCGGAGCCTGCGGCCGGGCGCTGTGCCTTGCCCCTTCTGGCGTTTATGTTTTCATAAAAATAATCTCGTTTACCATTATGTTTAATGCTTCTCCGCTTTTTCTCTTAGTTGCTATTCTAACCCCATTTAAAGCTTTATATTCCAAACTTTATCCCTGGAAAACCATGCCTGTGGGAAAGTCCTAGGTATTGAAAGCCCCTGATGTCAGGGGGGCTGGCAGTGCTCCTAGCCTTTTGGGTCAGCCTCACCTGGGATTTTCTCCCTTTCCTGATGCAGCAGGGCTGTCTGCCCACAGGCTCCCAGCTCCTGCTGCCCCTGCCACATCTGCCCGGCCGTTCTCTGCAAGCTCCCCACAGGCAGCTTTGCCCTGTGCCTGTCAGCCAGCGAGGTCATCTTGCATCTCTGTATCTCGGTGACACTCCAATGCAAGGCGCTTAGGAGTGGTGTTCAGGGACACAGAGCCGCGGCTGCCCTCGCACAGAGCCGGCTGAGAGGAGCGCTGATGCAGCTTGGGAGCGCGGCAGGAACGCCGTGCTCAAAGCCAAAACTCAGAGCCTACAGAGGTGAGCTAACATCTGTGGATCTGCCTTCACTCCTGGAAAGGGCAAGTCACAACACGCTGGGAAGGGAACCCGTAAACATACAGTGCAAAAGCCGTGCCTTTTCCAGCTGAAGTAAAGCCTAAAGGCCTTCCCCCCTCGCACCTCTCATAACCCCAGTGCTGGCTTTGTTAACTCAGAGCAGCAGCTTTACTTGATCAGATAGCCTGACTTGTGCATTCAGGGTGCAGGTTAGAATGGACTGCCTGTTATAAATACCGCTGTCTCTAGTCTGTGAATGACTTGCTGGTTTAATTAAATTAATTTTGCTTCTAATTTCTAGTTTAGTAGATTAGTCATTTACTAAAAAAGGGTAATTTTACAATGATTTATTTATTTATTTATTTATTTATTTTTCCGATGGTGGATTAGAAACCTAGACAAAGCTCCATTTTCCACCCTCGGAAGCCACTGGTTTCTCAGAGGAAAAAATTCCCACAGAATGTCACTGAGACAGGACGGACTTCGGTCAGTGAAATGAGTTCCCGGCGGATTCAGGGTGGAATTTCCCATTTCCAGAGGCTAAGGCCAGCACACCCCAAGCAGGAAATAGCTCCCCGTTAGCAGGAGCCAAGAACCTCGGTGGAAGTGCTTTCTTTCATCGGCCGCCGGTGGGGCGGGCAGGAGCCAGAAGGGACCGTCTTTGGCGTGTGGAAGGTCTTTTGCAAATCTGCAACAAGGAGCAAACTCGTTTCCAGTTCCCAGCCGGGAACATTTTGTTCAGAGGTTTCCGTGCTGGGAGCAGCTGGGGTAAGGCTGGCCGGAGGTTTTCCTGCCTGATCCTGATCCCGGTTCCGCACCCAGGGCTGGGCAGAGGGGTGGAGTTGGGTCAGGCTGCCTGGCTCTACCGGGGCTGGGTAAAACCTTCACCCTCTTTTGCTGCTGAAGAAGATGCGCTGTCTGACAGCACTCTGGAGGGAGAGGCGGAGGAAAAAAATGTTGAGCCTTGTAAAACGGGTATTTCCACTGTGTCTGAGACCTTGCTGGGGTGATGCAGGGGAACCTGAGCAGAAACCCTCCTGGATAGCCAGGACACTCACTGTTCAGAGACTCACTGGCTTCCCACAGGCTTCCTAAGGGTCTTGTTTCCGTTTTCATTTTTTGGTCCTACACGAGGTCAGACCTCCCAAAGGGACAGTTTTGCCCCGTGCAGACCCACACCCACATGGCGGTGACTGTGGGACTGTGAGTCTGCACTGGCACATGGCAGAGCTGCCCGAGCCCTCTGCCTGTGGGTGCTGCTGTGGCTGCAGGGGGCTGGCACGGGTGCCCAAATTTGCATTGGGCCTGGGAAACTCAATCTGATGGATGGTGTTTAACGTGCAGCCAAGCCAGCTAAGCATGTACACACATAAATGGCTAAGATTCAGCAAGTCATTTTACCACAGCAGTGAGAGATGGACAGTCCTGACATCTCTCTCAGCCTATTTACTTACTGGCACTTTCTTCCCTGCAGGATAGGTGTGCCATCTATTAATTCCCAGTTGTATTTCATCTTAATGAACTGCCCTTTTCTTTTACTCCCAGCATGTCTTTTTTTCCTCTCCTTTTAGTCCTGATTATGTCTTACTGTGTCCTGTCAAATTTCTATTCTCTGTATTTACAGCCTGCAAATATTTGTCGGTTTATCACATTGCCTCTGAGCCACCATTTCACCAAGGTCTATTCATATTTTTCCTCATGAATCAGTTTCTCTAATTTTTTGCTGCTCTCTCCTGTAGAGTTTGCAGACTTTGTTTGGTTTTAAAAGACAGTGGAGGGAAATTTAATTCTCTTTTCTTTAAAGAAGGGCAATAGCTGGATGAAATTAAACACATATTAAGGAGAGTTTCAGGCAAACTTCAATTGGAGATGGCCAGTTCTAAACTTCATACTTTTTCCCTCTTATTTGTCACATTTGTTTGGATCACTAGCGTTTCTAGCTGCATCCCCTGTTGTCAAACCCACTAATCCATAATTCACTGTCCTGGGGAAAGTCATTGACTCGCATGAAGCCTCCTGGGCAGGCAGGTATGTGTGTGAGCAAACAGTTGTGTGGTTGCAGTCTCAGGATGAGACCTTCAGTGGTACCTAGGAATTCAGCTTTCACCATTGCCAGAAAGGTGGGGTCTTCTGGAGCCGAAATGCAAAGCCCAGGAGGAGCTTCATCCCTACCTTAAATACTAGTCACAGGCTGCTGCTGGGCCAATGTGACTGAGAAGGTCACATTGGTACCTGTCTCTGTCTCTGTATCTCCCCTGCATTACCCCAAGGCCAAAGTGCAAACAAGCATCTGAGTAAAGAGAATTCTGTTGCAACATCGTGTGAATACAACAAGTCTCTCCAACCTTTGCCACCAGTCGCTGCGTGGTTGCCTTCGGCACAAATTGTACTTTACTCTGCTAAGGATCCCACTGGAATCTAACTATGCTTACTAAGACTTAGTGAGAGCTGGAGGAGAAAAAAATAATCTCCAGAGAGTTTAAATAAGGTTTGATTATTCATGGGAGCAGCAGGGGAATGGTAAAATTCTCCTGGATTTGTTGTGAGCCTCTGGCATTGCACCAGACTGCTGTTTTCCAACCACTCTCTTTTCTTGGATGCCTTTAAATCCAGGCTGTAACTTTAGATAACTGAAATTCTGCATAGATGATGAAGAATCAGAGGACAATTCAGGGCTGCCCTCCATCTGGTGTCTTTTGGGTACTTTAAGGAATTTTGACTCCTTACAGATCCTGGGAAAAAAAGTTAAATCACACTCCTTTTGTATAACTCTCTCCACAAGGGGCTATTCCCTGTGGACTCTGTCTGCAATGCAGCAGCCAGAAAGAACAAGGTTTGTCATTTTAGTTCAGGTATATTTGGGTTTATTTTTATTCACACAAGCTGCAGCAAGCTATAGCAGGACTACAGATGCTGCTTCAGCTGTAGTGTTTCCATCACGGCTGATTTACTACTCAAAAGCAAACAAAAGCAACCTAAAAACTGACAAGAGAAAGGCAACTGTATTAAATATTGAAGTATTTAACAATGATATCTACTTGTCTTTGCAATAGTTTTCATAGTCTTGTGGTTTATGCCTTTTTTATGGTCCTTTTAATTTCATGAAATGTGTGGCATGCTATCAGTAGTTTTTTCAGCTCTTGAAATAACTGATAAGCAATGTTTTATCAAAAATCTCATAGCAAGGATTTTTAAATAATACCTGAATTGAATTCAATCCTATCATGTTGCTGTAGACTGATTAAGAGTGTGAAAATGGGGAAAAACAAATTCCTATCTAAAATTCTTCATAACTTACACCAGGAAAAGGCAAGAATGCCTTCCAGCTGGTCTGATTAACAGCTAATATGTCATATAATGATTCCAGCATAACGATTGTGTTTCAATTTTCCCTAGATAATTTTAGTTAGTAGCTAGAACTATCACTCAGGTCAGAAATTAATTTTAAAAAATAAATATAATTAACTGCTGGGCTGCATTTCCTCCCAGAAAGTAAGGTCAAAGTTCTGGTTTAAAAGACTTTTTTCCAGTAAATTTAGCAGTTTTCAGCTGCATAAGAACAGCACTTTGAGGATGAATCCAAATATTCTAGAGTGAACTTCTGAGGGAAACTGTTTATATGAGTCAGCTCAACCAGATTCCCTCAACAAAAAGCACTTGTAACTGCGATAGCACCGTCCACTTTTCATTGACATGCAGTTATCAGTGTGGTGAGTCACATTATAAAGCATTTAAAAACTGTTCTTATAAATACCATACACCATCTGGTAACTGAATCAAAAGACCACGTGCCAGTTTTACTTTGGGATAGAAAAGTCTATTTTAAATTTACACCAATAGTCTCAGAGATATTACAAAAAATTAGTATAGAAACATGTTATCCCACCCAATTCCCCAAAAGTCCAGCTGAGAATGAAAAAAATCTTATTCAGTGGGATATTTTGACATTATACTGTTTGTTCTCATTGCAAGTCAGTATAACAGGACAAGATATTTTCATTATTCATATTGAAAGACACAATTTTTTTTATTTTTTTATTTTATATTCTTAGGAAAGATGTCTACATTAGGTTTCCTACTAAATTATTTTGAAATGAAGTGCTCTGACATGCCCAAAATACAAAAAAGTTTTCTTCTGAATTTGCTGGAGTGACATAAAATATTTTGCTTCATAGCAATTCAGTTTGAGATTTCCACTTGGTGA